CTGGTATAATCCCTCAATTTAGTATCCAGTTTATCTGTTTTAGTATAATCCCTCAATTTAGTATCCAGTTTAGCTGTGTTGATATAGTCACTCAATTTAGTATTCAGGTCAGCTGTTTTGGTATAATCACTCAATTTAGTATCCAGGTCAGTTGTGCTATGATCACCCAAAAAGGAACCTATTAAGTCCTTAACCCCCTTTACTTTATAGGATAATTCATGAGGCCAATTATGCTCTTTCCATTGAAAATTTACTATAAGGTCGTTGTTTTGATTATAAATATTAATCCCGAGACTGTCTGATTGATCATGTGCGAATTGTAACAATCTAGAAATATTTTCATACGATGTTGATTTACTAATCTCTAATTTTGCCATATTTTCCCCTTTTTAACTATAAAACCTCAATATCTTGTGCAAAGTGTAAGTGTGCTTGACCGTAAAAAAACACAGAGCATTACAGTGCTCTGTGTGAAACAAGATCTTACCCATGCATAGCATTATATTCCGTCTCTAGACTACTTAAAAAATCAAATACTTGTGTAGTGTGATGACTCATTAATATATTTTGTATATCATCTGTTATATTACTACCATCTGTTCTGGTATAATCACTCAATTTAGTATTCAGGTCAGTTGTTTTTATATAATCACCCAAATCAGTCTTAAATGCAAAAGTATTGTTCAAGTTATTGAGTAAGAATTTAGGGAATGTGAACGTTTTCTCTGTTCCAGTCACATTACCACTATTATCCAACGATGCATATTTTAATTGAATTTTACCTTCGGTAAGATCTAAGGTATATCGATGTTTTGCACTATCGTCGTACTGTATACGCGCAATAGTATCACCTTTATTTGCATTAACAAAAGTTCCACCATCGCCTGCTTTTAAAAATTTCAAACCTGTTGTCATATTATCTCCTTTAAACTATAAAATAAAAACCTCGATATTATTGCTTATTTGCAAAGTGAATAGTCATACTCAATTCTATTCCATGCATGCCAGAAAAATCACTATGTATAGTAAGATTATCTATGAAATTTTTACTACACTGATTCTTCTTGCATAGCATAGACTTAACGTTAGACAATTTGAACATGTTACCAATAACGCCAAAATAGCTATACCCAAGGTGCATACTCACACTATCACTTACGTGATGACTGAATCCTGCTTTTAGTTGATATGCAGGATCTACTGATCCCGCTTCAAACATTTTGGTCTGCGTAACTCCAAGTCCTACTCCAACGTATGGGGAAAAAGAAAAACGTCCATTGTGCGGTTGATAATACATGTTTGCCATGATAGATGTGCTTTCAATTCTATCGTTGGTCAGTTCAGTTATTTTCATTAATTCTTGTTGACCCTTTACCTTGTATGACATAAATATTGGACCTTCTATCAATCCAATATTATCTACCTTAACTTGAGAACGTTTTAACTCTAACTCACCCTTACCTACTGATTCTCCTTGATAACCAAGGGCAATACCGGCAGAAAGCACAGAGTGATAACGTGGGTTATAATCAGCAAGATTCATTTTACATTATGTTATGATTACCATCATCTACAGTTACACATTTACTTTCCTTGATTTGCAGAGGGCTAACATAGTGAGAAAACTCACCATTATATCCACTTTTAAGATATAACCCACTAGCAAAGGATTGCTTTGATAGCAGTAGAGAAAAGACTAATAATAATTTCTTGTTAATCATGTATGTACTCTTTATCCTGGTAGAAAGCAACATGCTGATATGAAGTTATTAAAAATGACTTTATTTCTTAAAAAAATTCATTGATGTCGCTTTGAAATTTACACTTTTTTAATTTTACTTAAAATTTCATAAAATATTATAGAAAAGTTTGAGCAAATATGGCTAATAAAAATTAGGTTTACCCTAGGCTCTGTGAACCAAAATTCAAGCAAGCCATATGAGAGTACCAACGAAGTTCAAAAAGCCCATGAAAACTGTTGCAGTCTTGTCAAATCGAGAAAAAATCCGCCTAAAATGCTTTATTTTAGCAAAAAAACACTCGATCAAATGCCGCTCTTTGCACTGAATCAGGATGATATATTAAGCTGAGATTTTTAAGTTTATTGTCAACTTCTGCTTTAAAATATTTCCTGTGATCTTCGATGGACTTCTTGCCTTTTTTAACATCCCGTAAATTATCATCGAGGTCAGATAATAAGCTCTTTAACTCCAATAGCTTGAGCGTATTTTCCAAAGTCATGCTATCTATGACTGTTAAGTCACCCTTCTTCTGTTCCTGCTCATCAACCAAAACACTATTATCTTGAAACATTTTACCCCTCCTTTGCCATTTAAAAAAGTATACCAACATTAACAGCAGCAAAAGCGCCATTAATTCTATGATTAATAATAAGACTATAAAAGCCATCTTTAAATTATATTGTGACCTCTACTGCAAGTAGATACCTCAAGTTGATCTACATGAGAATTTGGGTCTGTCTCAGAAGGCTTAGCTTCAGTTTGTGCGCTGTTATTAGAAGGGCCAGCTGGTTGTAATGCAGGATGTATATTCAAAAAACTAAGAAGCATATCAATTTTTGCTTGCGTTGCCTTTGCATCTCTATCCATTTTTGCTTGCATTTCCTTTCTTTCTTGTTCCATTTTACTAATCAATTCTTGATGTTTCTTTTTTGCTTCTTCTTTTGCTTGAGATACTTCTGTTGTTAAATCGGCTAATTTTTCTGTTAATTTTTTGTTTTCTTTCTTGGTTGCCTCAACCTGCTTATCGCAATTTTCTGACATGTTTTTATTCTGCTCTTCTAATTTTGATATAACTTTTTCGTACTGAGTACTAGCAAATGCAGCTCCTGCTGCTGCCCCAGCTACACTACCAACTGCTGCTGCTGCCCCTATTACTAACATAACACACCCCATGAATTTAATAAATTATGGATCAAAATAGCATAGTAAAATTTACAATGCAACTAATATTTTCAATAAAAATTTAGTATTAGCTGTGATAAATTTTTAACGTGAAAACTTGAAAATTTGCAATTTAG